TGGGCAACAAACTGGCTTGGGTCTGTAAGAGAAATCCCTGAGGCAGGGAAAGGGATGGGGACCTGCTCCGGCCTGTAGGGCTCTGGGAGGTGAACAGATCTGCCCAGAGACAGAGGATGTTCAAGGGACCAGATCTGACTGTGACCCCTGGAGAAGATGGTGCCTTTGTTGAGGATGGGCTGGAGGGGCAGAGAAGCTCTTCAGAGCAGAACAGAGTAACTAATTTCCTCTGCAGAAAAGGCCAAGGAAGGTTAATCACAGCTGGGCTCTGTAAGGAAAAGGAGATTGCACAGAAGCAGGTAGGGGAGGCTGGGGCCCCCCTCCACCAGTGCTGGGCTAAGAAAGTAGCAGGATGCAAACTCCTCAAACTGTTTCTTGGGGTATGGGGGCTGGACTGAGCTCTGTCTAGCCAGAGGGAAGCTCCTGAAGCCAGGCTTGCTTCCTAGCCCTTGTTCCTGCTGTTACTTTCCTCCCAGCCTCGTTGTTGTGCAGGTTCATGAGTGCTTGGCTGGAGGAGACACCATGGCTCCTCTCTGGGTTGCCCACGAAGGCTTGAGAGAAGGCAATCCCGTAAGACAGGTTATTGGAGCAGCCCGACCACTGGAAACCTGCTGAGGGAAAGCAGCCATGAGATGAAGGAGGATCCCTGAAAGGATCTCCCAAAGGGTTGTGGAGAAGGGATATGTCTCCATCCCTGGAGACAGTCTCTCCCATAGATCTTTCCCTCTGCCACCCCCTTCCTGCCACAGCCTTCTCCTTCACCTTCAGGGCTGGCTCCTCGGATCTTGCAGTCACAGCCACACTTCTCCAGCTCCCCGTGGCTGCAGGCACAAGTCACAGCAAAAGCAATGCCAGCAGCAGAGATGGCGTGGATGAAACCAGCCTCCCATGTGCCTGCAGCAGGGCAAGAAACAGCACCAGTCTGCGAGGGGCAAAGGCACTGATGGGACGTGGTGATGGAAAAGAGGTTGTGACTGCACAGAGGAAAGATGCATTCGGATGGAAACTGCTTGGGAGAAATAGATGGAAGGGTGTTCACCTGGTGCAGCTGTTCCCAAGGCCAGGAGCCAGTAATGGAGGTGGCTCTGTGTCAGGGCTGGTGGCAGGGTGAGGGAGAAGATCCACCGATCTGCATAGCTGGTACCCACAATGGTCCAGATGGGACCAAAATGCCAAATCTGGCCAAATGGGCAATAAGTTTAGGCAGAATGTTAGTATGTGTGAAAGAACATGTATTTGGTTGAGTTCACTCTCTGTTGACAGGCATGTTGGAATGTGGAGGAAGGCGCTGGCCACTCTGGGGATGGGTCCAGTGTGACCCTTGCACCCTAGCCCAGGAAAGGCTGATGTGTCAAGGGGACCCTATAGGCATACCAGAGGGACCCCATGCCAACCTTGTCTGTGTCACCTCCCCCTCTCTGACCTTGGACGGCCACCTTGCCAAAGACCTGCAGCCCCTGCAGGGTGGAGCAGTTCCAGCAGCGAGAGTGAAACTGGTGTTGGCACTCCTGGACAGCCAGCTCCACACCTTGCTTCACTGCATCCATGGCTTCCACTTGCTGCTGGCAAATGCAGACCTGCTCTTCTACCAACCCCGTCAGACCATCACAGCCCCTGGGGTCCCGGAGGGACACCTGCAGGGAGGTCTGCTTGGCCAGGTACCTGCAGGGCAGGGGAGAGATTCAGTTTTAGATGTGCCAGAGCCAGGGTCATATCTCTTCAGGACTAGTCCTCTGTAGCCTTATTTTAGAGCAGAAATGTTGCAGGGAAGGGGAGGTGTCTCATCTTGTCTGTGCTGAATTGGACATTCCTCTTCCCCATCCTGGTCTGCACCTCTTCAGCTTTACCATCCTCCTACGTCCATGCTCCCAGAGATGCCCCTTCTAATGTGCTGCCTTTTAGTTGCTCAAATTCCTTCTTCTACCCTTCTATCACCCCATTTTCTTTGAAGACAGCACCTGCCTAGATGACTTTCCAACCCAGACAGTACAAAGCATACTTACAGCCAGGTCACGGCAGCGCCGCGCCGCACGGGGATCAGCACTTTGTGCAGGCACACCATTTCCATTCTGTCCATGGCAAAACTCCACCACCTTCAGTCACGGTGCAACAGCCACCTGAATCGCCTCCTGTGGCCTCCCATGGCCTCTGCCTGATAGTCACTTTCCCAGCAGCTCCAGCCTAGCACTGCAAAGCCGGGGCAGCCCCTGACCATGGGCTGCCCTGGTGTGCCTGCCAGCATTGGAAACCCAGCAACCTGCAGAAATCTGCTGGGTTGGCCCTGAGAGGTTGTCCACACCAGTGCTGTTCTGTACTTACAGCTTGGGCAGCATGGTGGGAGAGCTGTGACCTGAGGCTTCAGGGTGGGCATCCGTCACAGGGAGCTCACATTGATGGGGAGAGGATCAGTGTCAGACCCTTGGCCTCTGCCATCCTGTCAGCAGGTGATGTGGTTATCTTCCTCCACAGTCCAGTCACTTCATCAGCAGGAAGCAGCCCAAGATCCAGTCAGCTGCAGACAGAGCCTTCCACACGAGAAGAACCTGGCAGCATCAAGCAACTATAGCTGGACCCATCAGCTCGTCACTGCTTTTGGGGGACAGTTTCCCTGCAGTGACAGCTCTTGGGATTAGAGACAGGAAGACCTACTACCTTCCTCATCCTCAGCTGCTGTTCTTGAGGACACTCCCTCATCTGCCTCCTCCAGGCTGGAGATTCTTCTTTTCTACCCTGCAGCCAAGCTACTCCCTGGCTCTCTTTCCCTGGCAGGTCTCCCTTCACCCTGCTCATTTTCTTCCCCAAGGACAGTCCTTGCCCTTCTTCTAGGAGGCATAATGGGCTAGCTGCCCTTCTTCTCAGCAGGTAGCTCTTTTCTAACATCCCCTGGAAGCCCAGGAAAATATGATTTGTGTGACCAGGGAGCTGAAATGTCCGGGGACAAAAGCCTGCCATTCCCCCAGGCAGCCTGGGAAGTGTCAGCTGTCTCCACCACCCTGGAAGGTAAAACTCCTCACACAGCCCACAGATTTTTGCTTTTCCTGTCTGAATCATTCAGAAAGTGAAGCAGGGCTGCTCTGGCCCTGCTGTGGTTCTTCCATAAAGGGATTCACCTCTTTACTGTGCTTTTCCACATTTTCCTGTACAAAGGAATCTGAAGAGCACTGAGATTTACCAGTCATCCTTTCAAACCTGAGCAGCCCTTCTTCTTTAGCATGAATTCCACCTCTTTCCTTGCCTTCCCAGCTTCCTGCATCCCTCCTTCTGTTGGGTCCTTGCTCCTGGTTTCTGGAGTCAGCACTCCGGGGCGGTAGGCATGTTGGGATCTGCAGCATCAGGGTGTAGCCTCCAACACACACCCCAGTAATCTGGTCTTACCTGCTGCTCACTCAACAGTGAGGAAACACCGGGGGTTGTGCTGCTCTTCCCCACAAGCTGAGCCTCCAAGAGACAGCGAGGGGAAGAGGTGTGAGCCCACCTGGGTGAGGGGAGACAGCGTTCGTGGGCTGATGCAGCAAGACGCAGTGAGGTGAGTGAACCCAGCTTGGTGAGGGGTGCTGTGGGCTTCGTGGGCTCGCTGGTTCATGGACTGGGCTAAGCGCTACTGTGTTGTCCTCTTCTAACACATAGAAAAGCCAAGACTACCAGGCTCAGCCAGGTGTGTGCATGTGTGTGTGGGGTGCGAGGGCTGCAGGGGAGGGGGAAGTTCCCACAGAGGGTGTCAGAGACTCCTTCAGCAAAGGACACCCCGCCAAGCCTTTATCAGTGGCAGCGCCTTAACGGGAACTAAAGAGACACAAAAAGCTGTGAGAACAAAGATCCCAGCAACTAGGAAATGAGAATGGGAGTCTGGTTAAAAAAGAGAGGCACTAGAAAGAGGCAGGGTGAGATCAGTGGTTTGGGAGCTATTGTACCCTCTGAGGATTTATGAGCAACAGGAACATATATCCCTTGGCATGTCACTCCCTGAATGAGAAGTCAGCAAGAGCAGGCAGGGAGTGAGAAAGTCAAACACCAGCAGGTTGAGGAGCCAGGCCAAGGGCTGCAGAGAAAGAGGGATCCCACCAGCAAAACACTTTCTTCTTGGGGCAGCTGTTTCTGGGGAAGGATAACAGTAGGATTAGGAGTATTGCTGCTCGTGTCTTCTTCCAGGTGTGCTGAGACTGGCAAAGCAGAAATAGGACTTGAAGTAACAGTTCCCTTCCCAGCTACACATGGCAGTGCCAGGTCACAGATCTCCTGGTAAATCAGCCCTTTTACTTTCTTAGCACTGTGCCTTCTGTAGCCTCAAACATCAGGGACTGATGTTTGTGGCAAACATGCCTTTGCTCGCCACGGGCACTGACATCTCTTCAGAGCTCAGTTCTTTCTGGGACCTTGCCACATGCCAGCAGTGCACAGCTGGGCCCCCAGGCAGGACTTCAACCCCAAAGTGCCCAAGCCCATGAGAGTGACAGGATTCCAAGTCTTTGTCTAGCTAGCAAGTAATCAACTTTGCTCTCGCTTCCTGTATTTCACCTCTACCCCCTGTTTAGAAATATTTTGGGGAAGGGGATATTTTAATTTTCCCTTGTCAGTCCTGGGGGCAGCTGAGTTAGCAAGATAAGCAAGGATTTGGCACTATGACCCAGGGCAGGTCTCCTCAGTTGCAATGACACCTGGGTGCTGCTTCTTTCATGACTACATTTGCTGTTATAGGATGTGGTTTAGCTTATCAGCTATGGATAGCAAAGTTCATGCTTTGTGGCCAGGCAGAAGTGCATCAGGAAGTGAAAAAGGAGAAGAAGTAAACTGCAGCATGATGTAGAATCAGCCATAGCGTTGTAGGGGGTAGCTGTGATTTGGACGAATAAAAAGCCAAAGAGCCTGCCTTACCTAGTTCTGTTTTGATTCAAGCTGCTTGCAGGTTTGGTGCCTGGATTGAGACCTCAGCAGTGGCAGCGACCACCAGCCAGCAAGCTCGTGTGCACCCTTGGCTCTTCAGCAGCAGAGAGGTAAGCCAGATGGAAACATCTGGGGAGCTGGATGGTCTGGGCAACTTGGGTGCTGATCCCCATGAGCTGCTGTGCATGTGCTGCCAGACCTGACCATGCGGCACTGGGGAACATCTGCCCCTCTTCAGTTGTCCAGTGGACCTAGAGGCAAATCTCAGTTCAAATGGAGGCTTTCTTTGGGGATTCTGTGATGCCAAAAGCACTGGCATCCTGAAGAGCTTACTTATCAAGGTGCCCACAATGGAAGCCCATACGGCCCTCAGAAGATAAAAGGGGGGTGACAACTCTAAGGAATAGCCAGTAGTGTGACCAGACCTCGTGAGTTAAATACGAAGGTCTCAGTTTTAATATCATGTATCTCTCATTAAGAACAAGGCATCCTAAGTCTTTAACGTCTTTGAGGTTTTAATAATCACAATAATCTAATTGCTTGGGTAGAAAAAAGGCAAAAATCGGGGATTAGATGTCACTGACAACAGGTAAAAAGCATCCATGTTTATGAAAAAAAAAATACCTTCAATTTCTAGAGCAAAGCTGAGTGGGCTTTTTTTAGGTTTGGCAAGCTCTTTGTTATTTCCTCTTTGTTTTCAGACTTACTAAGCGACCTCACACAGTTTGCGTTTTCAGCTCTGCACCCCAATGCCACATTTGTTGTCTGCACCCCCACGGCAGCCACAAGGCTCCCATGGGTTCAATGACAGTCACTGTCAGAAACACTGACCCTGCAGCATGCTCAGCAATATATTTCTAGCTTTTTTTCCCACCTCAGTTCTCAGCCCCATACTCAGATTCTTCATAATGTTTGTGGTGCTAGGAGGCAGTGATTCCTAGTGAGATAGTGTCAGGAGAGAGGATTCCCAGGACCAGGAAGCAAGACACCAGGCATATATTCCATCTTGGGGCATGTCTGCCTGTTCTGGCCCCTGGCTGCAAACACATCTAGGGTTTCTCACCCTGCAAAAGAAAAAATTAAGATCCCTTTGGGTTTTGCAAGTTACAGTCTCAGCAGATGATGGTATTCAGAGACTCGTATTGAAGAGGTAAAAGGATGCTTCCTCCACCTCTTGGGATCCATAAGGTCAGTCAGTCACCAAACACAAAGTTCCTTCAGGATTTAAAGACAGCATTCTTGTTGTGAGGAGGAAGATTATTCAGCTGTGGTACCATTGCCTTACACAGCTGATGGCTTGATGGCAGCTTTTGTGCAGGGCAATGAGTACTTGAGGTTCTTTTAGAGGCAGGCACAAAGAACATGCCCTTTGCCTTTCAGACATTAACCAAGGATATTCCAACCGTTCTGTTCCCCTGCTGTCAGCCTGCTTGAGCTACCCATACCTTTCTTTTTCAGTGAGGAACAGTCAAAACAGTACCTCCAGAACTCATCAGAGAAACGCTCTGGTCCCACAGTTTCATCGTTCCAATGACTCTGCCTGCATACGTTTCATTTCAGGTGTCTGAGGTCTTGATCATAGTATCTGTTATGGCAAGTTTGAAACTATCAGCTTAGTTTCAGTAACATCACCGTAGCATATTCTTTCTTCTGTGTTTCCATCTACCCACAAAAAAATATCCCCTCAAAACCCCCAATCTATTTTCTGCTCTCAGTGATCTTTGCTGCCAATTTAGAACTCTGCTGTTTAGTATCTTAAAGGCTGAAGGGCTAGAGTGTGTAAGGAAAGACCACTTAGAAACAAAAGGTAATAGTGGGCAAAAAAAATGGACAGGTTTCTTTCACTGGTGTTCATGACACAAAAGCCTGGGAGATTTTTGCAGCAGAAACTCTCTTTACAGGAAAATTCATCAAAGGACTGTCTCTGATCAAAACAGCAGTAGGAACAGCTATGGAGAAAGATGTACCAAGCAGTGTCTAAAACCACATGGCTCCTACCCCAGAGGTCTGAAAACAACTGGAGGGTGAAAGACCTGACTAACTGTGGTGTAGAAACATTTGCTTAAAACTGTTTTTAAAGGCTCACTAGCAGACTCAATTTGAGAAAAGGCTCTTGAGGGTTTCTGACCAGGCAGCTTGATGTTTTTGCTGAACAAATTAGTAGAAGCTATAATAAAGGGGGGAAAA